TGTGGTAACCGATCGTCCAGGCATGAAGCCATGTTGGTCACTAGAGATATAGCATTTGGTGTGCTCAAGAATGAAACCACTCACAATTATCTCAAACAGTTTTGATGCTGCAGAGAGATTAGTAATTCCTCTGTAGTTTTTAACGTCACGTTTATCTCCTTTCTTGTGTACCGGAACCATAAATGACTCTTTCCAGATTGCAGGAAATTTCGACTCTACAAAAGATTTGTTGAAGATTCTGCAAAGCGGTTCAACAAGCGCTCCAATGCACAGTGGTCCAGAATGCAGATTTAGCTGGAATGATATGTTTTGAGCCTGAAATTGAAACTTTAGACTAAAAGTCTCTTCTACAAAGTTGTTCCTTATAGTTAGGCCCTCATTTTTATGACAATGAATTCTAGGGTGGTTCCTATTATCATTAAAATCAAAAATCTAACTTTTTTGTTTGAATAAATTAAGGTATACGTTCTTCGGCAAAGTTATAGCTGAGCTAATTTCAAGCAACTTTGTTGAAAATAACTTTTTTGTATCTCTTAAATTGGCCGATTTAGAGCTATTTTCTTGAATTGAGTTAGGGTGGTTTTTAAAAAAACAGTTTTTTTGCTCTATTTTTCTTATTTCGAATTTCTCAGCAAAGGTGTCTTGAGATAACTTTTAGATATTAAAAAGGCGCAAATTTTTGCTGCGCAAAGCTTGTCAATATCTTTCGCCGATCAAGAGTTATTGACGTTTGTATACTAAAAATATGCATTTTTCAAATGGTAATATCTCTGGTTGGGGCAAACAAAAAAAAAGTTTTTTTGCAGCATTTGAAAGGGCGTATGTTATTCTCAATAATATGAAAAAATTGGAGGTATGTTATTTTTTAAACTCGTATAAAATCAATTTGAATTTATTCATATTTTTTACTTTATTTGAGTATATCTTTTTTATTAGAAGAGATACAGGCAACAAATTCAGCTATAAAACATTCGTCTTTAAGAGTTTTAAAAGTCTCTAGAAGATAACTTTCATGAGAATTTTCAAATAAAAAAGTTATTGGCAAAAGATGGATTTCATAGGACCACTCTAATGACAAATTTATATAAAATGAGATAGTACATTTGTTTCAATATTTGGACATTTAACCCCAGTATAAAAATTAAAGGTGTACTCCTACGTTAAAACATTTCAAAATATAGCATACTATAACTACAAAAGATAATTTCAAATATAAACACAGATCCTCTCCATCTCCTTCAACGACCCTGTGGAAGTCGTATCTCTTCGCGATCGGTGACCGTCCGTCAAGCCAAACCAAACGCTGACGATACTCCTAACCCAGCCATAGATTCCGATGTTGAAAACTTTGCTGACCTCGTATGACTCCCAACCATACACCTCTAGCGTACATGCTTCCGCTGCCGGTGGAACGAACATGCTTGTCTCTGCCGGTGGAATTGATCCTCGTATACTATTGGAGAATAAAACGGCTTGACTCCGAAAAAAATTCGTTATTGCAGAGACATAACTTAACTGTCGCCCCCTGGCGATAACGGACGAACTCTCCATTGTTGCCAAAGTTTGCCCCAAGTGCCCGTTGCAACGGGGGTGTAAAATGCTCAGTGGAAGTTGTGATCGTAGAAGATCAGAAGTCATCTCAGAGAATTTCTGTTGAAGAAAAAAACCGATTGGGCTGCGAACAACTTGTTAAGCTTGGAAAACGTAGCTTTTAGTGCAGCCTCTGACGATTACGGCTGAAAGCGCCGTCAGTTGCCAATGTGCCCCTACTTATCTGAGTTTTCCCGATGTAGTTGTCGATTTATGGGAGATCACATCGCTGACGACCGTCGATTGTTGAAGTGTTGGAGATGATCCTGGAGGAAGGGAATTCGATTGGTTTCCGAAATACTACTTATTTCTAATAAACGTAACTTATACTGCGGCCCCTGGCATAAAACGACATGGAGTGTCGTAAACCGCCAAATTTGCCCCATATGGGGCCATACTTAGCTGTGTTGATCTTCAGTGATCTACGATGCCGCAAGGTATCAGAGGTTGATCCGTATTATGATTGATTGCATACGGATGAACGAAGGAACGGATGATCTCTCCAGTCAAGCATATGAGCAGCAGGTTATGACTGTCGAGGGAGAACAGATCAGTATGTTTCCGGATACACAGAATATAGAATACGTAGCTTATAGGTTGCCCCCTGGCAACAGCGGCGGGGTTACAGTGCAAGGTGAACAAGGTGCCCCAACGGGGGCGATAATACTTATTGTTGTACTGGATCTACTGCGATTCCTCAACATCCAGTTGATTGTCTCGGATGGGAAGAATACATATCTTCGAAATAGCCCAGCGATAAGATCCACCCTTCGTACGAACGGTGACAGCTCTCACGTTCTCGTCTAGCCTTGGGTGAGTCTCCATGACTCCTTGTTCCAACGTTCAAATTATTTCTTTGCCTTGTCCATTTGTTGCGACTCTGCAGAGTTGACAAGTAGTCCGTTGACCAGCGCTTCCAAATCACTTGACTGTACTTGAACACGTTGCCATCTATTGGGTGCTGCGGTGAGTGGGCGTTGGATCAAGAAATTCCCGGGAGTCAATGCTTCCAAGTCACCGGAGTCATTACTGAGAGGTGTCAGCGGTCTCGAATTCAGACATGCTTCAATCTGCGTCACAACGGTATGCAGTTCATCATACTTCAGCATTCTGTTGCCGATTACTCTCCTCATGTGCCCCTTCAGCGATTTGACTTGAATCTTGAGCAGCCTCCATTGACACCTTTTCTTGGAACTGTTGTTGACGAAACATTCGATGCAATTCACGCAGTTCTCTTCGTGCTCCCTGGAAATTGGGGGCGTTGTTGCCGAGTATCAACTCCGGTCTTCTGCGTCTGGCAACAAATCTCCGAAGAGCAGCAAGAAATGCCTCGGTGGTGAGGTCTATCACGACCTCAATGTGGACCGAGGGGAGCGACACATCTAAATCTCAATGCTCAGATGCTCAAAAAATCTCACACTAGTGAATCAATCTTCGAAAAATCATCTTTCATTTCTCGCATCTACTTGCATCGCGCTTCATCAGCTAGCCACAGCTTAACACAATCTTTTCTGCATCGTAAATAGAGTCGTACCCCTCGATGTGGACGGCTTTGCAGACTAAGCAAACGAACAAACAGAGATAGCATTTCATTGGAGCGCTCTTCCGGGTGACAGGCTGCAGTTCGAATGGTCCACAATCAATACTCACTCGTTGGAAAGCAGGAGCAGGTGATACTTGTTCCAACGGAAGACCCTCCATCAACTGATCATGGACGCGTGGTTTCACCCTGAAACACTTTACGCACTCGTGCATTACCTTCATGGCTGACGCTCAACGGCCAAAACCTCTCTCAAACACACGACGGTGATAGTCGACCAAGATGAGCTTCGTAAACGGATGATGGCTATCCAAAATCATCGGATGTTTCCTTCCTCGCGAAACAGGAGCATTTCCGAGCCGGCCGCCAACGCAGAGTATCCCATCAACCATCACAGGATTCAGAGCATGCAGCTTCGACGAAGGTCTAACTTCGCCCTTAGCCACAAAGTTTGACAGTTCCAACAGAAAACATTCCGATTGGGCTAGCTGCACCAGGGTAATCAAGGATGAGTCATGTTCACCAGCTGTCAGCAATCCAGTTTTCCTCTGCAACCGATTTCTTGGACGATAATTGAAGGAAAAACGGCGTATCCACGCGGTCTGTAGGACTGCTGACACTAGTGGTCTCTCCTCCAGGATTACCGAATCGAACTGCTGTACTGGAACCTGCGCGCTTACAAGCCATTACTGTGCTTCCTTCTTCAGCCATTCTGGACCATTCCACCACAGAGAATTGCTCGTCACCTGAGCTGGAGTGGCTCCTTTCGAAATTATGTCAGCGGGATTCTCGATTTCCGGAACGCGGTTCCAGATTCCACCCTTTGTCACATGTTGTATCTCTGATACACGATTGGCCACAAATACCTGCCATCTAGACGGGTGTGACGAAATCCAGAATTTTACAATTGTAGAATCGGTCCAGAAGAATGATTTGGCTGCTATCATCATACTGGTGGAAACAGATTCATACAGGTGCGCTAACAGTAGCGCAGCAGATAACTCCAACCGAGGTGTGGATTGCTTCTTCTTTCTTTTACTGAGGTTCTCGAACGGCGCAACCTTTGATTTGGCCATCAGTAGGTTGATCGTGCCTATCTCTCGTTTAGGTAGGTAGAGTATGATCTGCAAGCATGCAAACGATCGTGGTCACTCATTTCTCCTGGATTCCCTAATCTACAGTGATGCACACAATTATGTATCCAAGTTTCCCTAACAACAGGTTCAACTCAATTTTAAACACACGGCACTTTGCACTTTCGTGAAAAATCAATCGCGCAAACCAGCAAACACCATCTGACACCCCTTTCCATTTGGTAATGTTGATTTGTGTGAAACCGACGATGGAAGTGCAAAGCGTCGTGTGTGTTTACAATCTAGGTATACTTGTGTATCATTGTTGTTATTACATCTCTCAGCATTTTGCCGACACTAAAGTGATGTAATCTTTGGCCTACCGGCAGCCACATCATCGAAGTTCATGTTTATTTTGATTGCGCTTCTTCATCATCATCATCATCTTCTGCTTCATGGCTATACCGTCCCAGCAGGAGCTTAACGCCTACCCTCAGCTTAGAGTATTTCTACAGTTTTTGATTGAGAGGCTTAATTCTATACACCGTAAATTGAACCGTCGTGAAATACCGGTAGCAGATCTTTTACAGGACCATGAATCGAACCCACCACCTCCAGTAATGCCCTCTCTATAAACGCGCCTATACTACCTTCGTAGCAAAATTGTTCTTATCAGTGTCAATTTTTGAATAACAAAGTGTAGGTAGATAGACATTAATACCGACGGCAGCATCCACAGTTAGCTAGCCAAAATCGAACGATCAGTCATCGCTGAGAGGTAGCAGTGAAAGCAGCAGGCGAACAAGATGAATCGATTTTCGTTGCTATTTTTAGTTTTGAACATTTTGATCGGTGTTCTCTCCGTCACCGTAATTGAAAATAATAACACTATCAAAGAGAACGTTGCCGTTGAAGTGGAAATAGGTGAGTGTTTTGATTGCTTGGAGCTTTATCAACGTTTGTCATTGAATTTTGTATTATGTTCAAAGCCAAATATGAAGCGGACTTCCTGAAGGAATTTGAACATTATCAATCCACCGGTCGCAAATCATCCGACTTCGATCGACTGTTGGATTTGATAAAGTCGAACGACATCAAGGTCACACTGGATCGGATGCCTCATTCGAAGGATCCCAAGATGTGTTTGACCTGCTTATCGGCAAGCTATTCGTTTCTGGAGATCTATAAACGGACCGTAAAAAAGGAGAAGACTGAGCTCGTCAAACTGGCTCAAGACATTTGCCATCTCTACAGCATGAAACCGTACGTATGTGATGGTTTGATCACACTAAATTCCGATATTATTATGTTCATACTGGGGCACCTAGAACAGTTACCCACGGCTGAAAGAGTATGCGAAGTTGCTTACCAAGGGGACGACTGCGTGGTGGATGGATCAGATATTCTTTTTGATCGATACCCGAAAGTTAATACGAGTGTGTCAGACAACATGCTGAAAGTTTCCAAAGAAGCTTCAATCAGATCTAATAAGGAACCTCTCACGATCATCCACATAACTGATATTCATTACGATCCAGAATACGAAGTAGGGGTGAACGCGGATTGCGCTGCAGGTGCCTGCTGTCGGCACGTTCCTGATCTTGAGCCAGCGGACTCTTCCAATGCGGCCGGCTTCTGGGGTGACTATCGGGATTGTGATACCCCGTGGCACGCAGTTGTTGACGTGATGGAACAAATTCGTACGCAGCATCCGAAGATCGATGCCGTCTATTTCACTGGTGACATCATTCACCATTTCACCTGGAACACTACTGTTGAATCCAATGAAGATGCTATGCGGCAAATTTTCCAATTACTCAAAGAACGCTTCGTAGATATTCCTTTGTATCCCATTCTGGGGAACCACGAAGCTCACCCATCGAACTTGTATGCACCACACGGGGTCCCAACCGAACTCACTTCCAAATACCTGTATTATTTCATCACCAAACAATGGGATGATTGGTTGCCGGTCTCCGTCAGACCTACTTTGACTGACGGTGGATATTACTCTGTGCTAAGTCCTCTAGGTCATCGTATTATAGGTCTTAACAATAACTTCTGCTATGTTCACAATTGGTGGCTGCTCTATGGAGACGACTACTTCATTCAGCAGCTTCAGTGGCTCCACGACATCCTTCTGGACGCGGAGAAGTCTGGCGAAAAGGTTCACATTTTGGCACACGTTCCATCGTACGATAACTATTGTTACATTGGATGGACAAGAGAGTATCGGAAAATTGTGGAACGGTTTGCCCACATAATCGAAGCACAGTTCAATGGCCACTCACACGTAGATGAATTCAATGTATACTACAAAAAGACCGATTCTTCGGCAGCTGTGGGTGTTGCGTGGAACGGAGGCTCGACGACGACTTTCAGTCAGCTTAATCCAAACTACAAGGTATTCTACGTGGATCGAGAAAGTTTTGTAAGTTTTGCATCCCACATATGACATTACTGATTGAAACCGTCAAACCCATTTTCCCTCCTCTTACCAGGAAATCCTCGATCAAGAGACTTGGATCTATAATCTGACCGAAGCAAACCTGCACCCAGATCGGAAACCCAGCTGGTTCCTGGAATACACCTTTAAACAGCACTATGGATTAGCCGACCTCAGTCCAAAATCTCTGGATACATTGCTGCAAAAACTAGCCCACTCCGAAAGTGACCTCCTGCAGTATTGGAAACTAAAGCAGAAAAATGCCGACCCACTACTTGCTAAAGGCTGTGATAAAACCTGTCTACGGGATGCTCTCTGTGCTCTAGCTCGAACCGAATATGCAGATGATGCCGCCTGTGAGCGACTTCTGTCCACGCCCCAAGCAAACTGAAAAGCCCAACGACGGTGTCAAAGTTTACACTAAAATTTATATTTACTTTTTGGCTGTCTCATCTTTACAAGTTACAAGGTTCTATTTGGATGCAACTATTTTGTCTCTCTAATGGTGTGCTGTGAATGTCTCTATATTGTGTTATAAATAAATATCGGCTCGTTTTTTTTATTTGGATTTTAGCTTTTTTCCCTTTTTTCTTCTTCCGAAACAGGAGAGTGTTGATAAACTGAAATAGAGTGAAGCAATTAAATAAGACGAGCATTCCCAGCAGGATTGCCGTTTCCTTTCCATAGAATCAAAATCTATCACTGTTTGATTTTGAGGAAAATAACAACGAAATAATCGGTACTACTCTACTAAATCAAATATTTTACACATTCGTCATCATAGACTGCCATCGATAAAACTGGGCATATGGCACCGGGTTGAGGCAAATTTTCCATATTATACAGTAGTTTATTTCTTTTTCTTCCGTCTCATGTCGCAGAGTACCGTTGCCAGTGAGATGTCATTTTCATCCGCAACCCGAACGGAAACTAGTGCCTGGTTGGAGTGTCGTCCGCTGGAGATCAATCGAGCCGTGCTGATACCGCAGAAGATGGCCTGTTCTGGACCCGGTTCCATACTTTTGCCGCAGATCGTGCTCGATTTGTCCATGTTGGATGAGTCCAGCCCCGATGATCCTCCGATTTCCAACCTGTCCGCAGCGTCCGGTCGATCGCACTGGAAACAAAGGATAAGTTTTGATATGTGGTTAACAGTATAAATAAATACAATTAGTAATGTCTTTTGAAAATATCTCAATTAGAAAGTAGATACAGTCAAGTATCCCATCGAGATGCCCCGTAACGTGAGTAGATCACCTTTTCGTGGTACGTTACGGGATGTAAGATGTACCACCGACTCCTAGTCTTGACTACTTCAAAGTAGGGGAACAGGACCTTTCAGTAATCAAAGGAACACATCTTAGTCCTTGTTACTTTCAATGTCTTGTTGATAAAGAACAGGACTCGGCTTTGTCCACCGAGGATGATCTTGAAACAAGGAAAAAATGAGTTAGTTAGTCTTCATCTATGTGATTCCTAATATTATATTCTTTGTTCCCTAGTTTGAAGTGATTAAGACTAGGGTTCTGACGCATGGTCATTATCGATGTCATTCCTTAATTTTGACTGAGAAAGGGGTGCGCCTTTGGAGGGTGTTCGAACACTCCGAAGGGTATAAATAGCGGGACTTTTCAATTAGAATCGATTCCTTGCGATGAAGGCAAGAATGACAACTGTATCAAAACCGAATACTTCATCATTTCTCAATAGTGATGGAGTTACTAATACAACATGCACTAAACTAAGGACACGGGATAAATTAGAATAGATCAAATTAGTCCCGAACAGAGAAAAAATTCCATCGAGATATGGAGAAATCAAGATAAAAAATAAGACCTTTTAAAGAGACTGAGAAAACTATCAACACATTGAGAAAAGTGGTCACCCATCGAGATATATAATATCGATATATGGAGAGCTTGAAACTGGAACACAAGCTGACGACATCCCTATTTACCCTATCATTTAACATTGTCCCTTTAGAGTGAGACATACCTAATGGATTACTCTGTAATTAGATTGAATATCTGGCAACACTTTGCAAATGTTTACCACTAGTAAGTTACCCTTCAGGAAGCTTACATTAATGCGTCATAAATCAGTACCGACATTTTTAGATGTGTTAAACTACCGTTCATCGTAAGCCCACGATCTACTTATTTCTACATTTTAGTGCATGATGACAGAAGTGGTGAAACTAAAACCAGGTGTAGACGAAGCAAGTCAATGATTCAAATGATTAGAATTTAATCAAATTGTTTAGACAAGGATTGAATCAAATAGTTTAGACAAGGTGAGCCAGTTGATCATCTCACATGAATTCAACTGACTTGTCCTCGCATTGAAAGTATAAAACCCCAGCTGAACAACGAAATGAATGATCAGAAAATTGGTCGATGTCAAATTGATGCATATGAAATTGTGACGACGAGTATCCCTCGGCGCATAACGATCGCTAGTTACCACAGGGTGCAAGTCATGTTTTATGCAGTCAGAACACCTAACCTAACATTTGTACACGGCGAATGAGAACGACTCTAATTTGAGTTTAGTTCACTCATAATCGCCAAAAGTGCAGGAACTCAGCGATGAGTAAAATTTGTCTCATGGTTTCCTGTGGAAAACCTAAAAAATCTGCCGGAAAATGAGGAAATTGACGAAAATTTTATTCAGTCTCGGAGTAGTAGGGGAGAATGGTATACAACGCACCCCCTGGGCAGAACGCACCAACTGACTTTCATTTGTGTTTTTCATGGCTTTTACGTAACTTTTTTGTTGTCTTATCAAGCAGCACTTCTAGCATAGCATCTGAACTCAAAATCCGGCATGATAAATCCTTGAATTGGATTAAAAATTCCAAGAAAAACTCAAAATAAAATGAAAAAGTGCGTCTTACCCCGGGAGTGCGTTATGTACTGTCCTCCCCTACCAATAGACTGAGTGAATCCAATCTTTACTTTTCTCAAATTCAGGAATTTTTCCCTGGAAAATCCTGGAAAAACCTCGGAAAACATGAGGCAAATTAACTCATCGCTGCACTTTTGGCGATTATGAGTGAACTAAACTCAAATATGAGTCTTTCTCATTCGCCGTGTAGTCACTAAAGGAAGTTAGTCGGAAGAAATACTGAAAAATTGTAGGTAATTAATATTGTTAAAGTGATAATATTACTAAAAATAAAATTAAAATTACAGCTAAAGCTGTTCCCAACAAACTTCGAGTTTTACGGGACGCTAAAAGAAATCAGTTTCAACATTCCTTTAGAATTTTTCATCGAACATTTTCCGGACGATGGAGAATAATGGGGATGATTCGCAGGTGCAACGCAATTGCGCTTTATGTACCAATCCCGACGAACATGACGACATGGTGGCGTGCGATTCCTGCCAGTTGTGGCACCATTACTCCTGTGCGAAGGTCAGTGCCAGTGTTCAGGATCGGAAATGGTACTGTCCCACCTGCGGACCCCTTTGTAAGGAAGGAACAGACGATGTTCCGGAGAAGAATGATAATCCTAATCCTAAGCAATACGGATCCGATGGAGGTAAGTCCGGTACGGCAAAAGGTTTTAACGAATCGGTTGCCAAGAAATCGGACGCAAAAGGTGCCAAGCCGAAAGTACCGGTGAAATAATCGGAGGATCTTGAGGTCCCGAAGAAGATGACGGCGAAGTCTTCGGCCGGTAGTAAAGCCACCAGGAAGTCGAAGAAAACGGTTGGCGAAAGTGCTACGTCCAGCATACGGGCTCGATTGGAACTTGAGCTGCAGGCGGTGGAAGAATAGCAGAAGATTCAGGAAGAAGAGTTGGCTGCCGAGAAAGAGCTGAAAGACCTCGAACGGAAGCTCGAAGAGGAAATGCAGGAGAAGGAGTTTGCGATCGAAACCAAGCGGATCGCCGAAGCTAAGGCTGCTTTACGACAGAAGATTGCGGATGAGCGGGAATATGAGATGCAGCAGATGGCGATTAGGAGGCAATCGGCGGAGCAGATACAACCACATACAACCTTTTGTTAGCCAGGCGGATAAAGGGCAGCAAGCTCACGCGAATGCTTTCGATAATCGACATTTCGCTGATAAGTTTGGCCAACTAAATATGGGAGAAGATTCGAGATTACAAGCTTGTGCTGACGACCACAACGTTGTGTGTCAGAAAATCGTCTTCACACACACACTCGTGTACTTGATGGAGGTGGTCATGGAAGTCGTTCTTTGAATATGGGTGAAGTGTTGATTCCTAAAACGAACAACGAAACATTCCAGTGCATCCGGTTGAATTTCGGGGCAATCAGACGGCAAACGGCCAAAGCGAGACAGGAGTTGGTAGCAGAAATGGACAACCGGTGTCGTGTAGTAATGCGCGTACCAACCAAAGGAGCGATAAAGAAGAAGATTACACAGATGGCCCGACAAATCAACAGCTGGCTGCTAGGCAGGTGATGGGGAAGGATTTACCGATGTTTTCGGGTAATTCGGAAGAATGGCCAATATGGATCAGTAACTTCCAGCGGTCTACTACAACTTGCGGTTTCTCCGACGACGAAAATCTCATCCGCCTTCAACGCTGTCTAAAGGGTTCAGCCCTTGAAGCAGTGCGCAGTCGACTACTTTGTCCCACAAGCGTACCACACGTCATTAAAACCTTGGAGATGCGGTACGGACGACCAGAAACACTCATTCGTTGCATGAGAGAGCGAGTTCGGCATTTACCACCGCTGAAGGCAAATGATGTGGAGAGTATCATCGAATTCGGACTGGCGGTGGATAATTTGGTTCAGCATCTTGAGAACGTGGCACATCTATCCAACCCATCACTGTTACATGACATGGTGGGCAAATTGCCTGTTGATTATCGGCTCAAATGGTCAGCCTTCAAATGCAGGAATTAAGATGTGGACTTGAGTACGTTTGGAATATTCATGTCAAAATTTGGTAGAACTTGCTTACGATGTAGCAGATGACTTCCCATGTCTAAAGCCACAAAAGTCGAAAGTCAAGGAGTGTTCATTTGTTCAGACACACGCAGAGCCAGAATCGTCGTCCAAGAACAAACCAATCGGCAGCAATACTTCAGCTGGTTGGCGAACACCGAAGAAACCGTGCGTGGTGTGCAAAGCGGAAGGACACCGGGTTTCGGAATGCGGCAGGTTCAAATCGATGAATATCGACGGAAGATTGAAGGCGGTACATGAGAGCGGTCTTTGCAGATCGTGTTTGAATTACCATGGAAAATGGCCATGCAAGACAGCAAAGGAATGCGGTATCAACGATTGCCGACTAAAACACCATTCTCTCTTACATTCCTCAAGCACAATCGTGCAGGCAGCCGTATCAACAAGTCATCTTAGTGAGTTGAAGACGTTAAGAGGACCGCTTTTCAGAATCATTCCTGTTACGTTATATGGGAAGAACTGCAAGGTGAACATCTATGCTTTCGTCGATGAAGGGTCGCAGATAACTTTGCTGGAGGATTCAGTTGCATATCAACTTGGAATAGAGGGAACTATGGAGCCGCTGAACTTACAATGGACTGGTAACATCAAGCGCAGCGAACCAAATTCAAGGCGGATCAGTGCTTAGATTTCCGGTAGTGGATTTTCGAAGCAGTACATACTGATGAATGCGCGTACCGTCGGTGGATTGTTGCTTCCCTCGCAAAATATGGACTACAGCGAAATGTCTGGAAGATATCCTCATCTGCGTGGTTTACCGCTACAGAACTATAAGAAGGTGTTCCCAAAACTCTTGATCGGTCTTGACAACCTGAAAATCACCGTGCCGCTGAAAATCAGAGAAGGAAGGTGGGAAGAACCAATTGCCGCATGTTGGAGGATGGACCGATCCAGAGCAAGACCTAAACCAACTAGTTCGTGATTACATCACACTGGACAACATCGGCGTATCACACCCTTCTACTCCGCTGGAATCCGATGAAGACAAGCGAGCAAGTATGCTTCTGGAATCTACTACCCGTAGAGTCGACGGAGGTTTCGAAACGGGTTTGCTTTGGAAGTGAAACAACTTGCGGTTTCCAAGCAGCTATAGAATGGCGTACAAACGAATGTGCTCACTCGAGAGGCGCCTCAATAAAGATCCTGTTCTGTATGATCAAGTTCGGCA